GACTTTGACGTTTTGCAATCTGCATTTCTGGAATCAGAGGCCTTTCCCAGAACAGTTCCTGCTTTTCGTCCCACCTCAAAAGGGACCAAATAAGAGGGGCACCCAAAGGTCATCTAGACTGAAAATAGTGTTGAGAAGGGCGGTGAAAGATAGACAGGAACCAACATTGGTGGAAGTCAATAGAAGAATAGAAGAAAACTGCTTCAACTGCAAAAGACAAAGAGGGAATACCATAAAAATACAATGCAGAGCAGAAGAGAAAACTGGTGAAAGAAGGTTCTCCATGGACAGAATTGAGAGCAAAATGGACAAGGAACAACATAGATGTGACCCACAAATGGAACTTGGCAAAAGGAGACGGAGGGCCTGATTCTGGCAGCCAATGCCACCAAAACCAGAATTGAACAGTCGACGACAGATTCCAAGTGCAGACTCTGCAAGGAAGCAGACAAAATGATGGATCACATCCTCCAGCTGCTGCAAGAAGATTGCACAGACAGACTACAAGCAGAGGCATAACACCGTTGCTCAGATGATCCATTGGAACTTGTACCATCTGCCTGCGACAAAGAACTGGTGGGATCACAAGCTGGAAAAAGTTACAGAAAATGAACACGTCAAACTCCTCTGGGACTTCCGAATTCAGACAGAGTTTTGGAGCACAACTCCTGACCTCACGATCATGTTAAAAAACCAAGTATGGTGTTGCAATCCCAGGCAGCAGCATGATTGAAGAGAAGCAACTTGAAAACTGGCATGATATGAGGATTTAAAGATCGAACTGCAAAGACTGAAACAAGCCAGGCAAGCTAGTCCCAAGTAGTACTTGGCACCCTGGGTGCAGTGCCTCAAGACGTTGGCCTGGACTTAAAAACAATAGCGCTGACAAAATTACCATCTGTCAGCTGCAAGAAGCCACCTTACTGGGATCTGCACGTATTATTCGCCAATACATCACATAGTCCTAGACACTTGGGAAGTGTCAGACGTGTGATCCAATACAAAAGCTAGCTGGGTGATCTTGTTTGCTGTGTACTAATCTTGTTATGTATCTAATAATAATAATAATAATAATAATAATAATAATGTATAGCAATACCTTTATAAAATAATATATATATAATCATATTTATAACAATAAATTTATACAATAATAATGTATTTATTATTATTATAAATAATTATCGCTTATAATAATTTATTATCTGCCTTTCCCCAAGGCCACAATATACCCAAAAATAATGTTTATAAGATTGAGATATATACCGTATGTGTGTGTGTGTATGTATTTTAAAAAATTGAACTTAGGGCAGTGACACTTCTGCAAAAAGGAGTGGCTCCAGGTGCATTGAATGAATGCAGTTCAATGTTATGGGACTCCTGGGCATTGTAGTTTCCCAAAGTCTTGGGCCTTCTCGAGAGGTCTGAACAAATCCTAAGATTCTATAAGCAAAGTGGCGTCAAACTGCATTCGTTTCTCAGTGCATTTCTGCACACTGGGAGCCCCCTGTTTTGAGGCTGAGAGAGTGTGGCATTGCCAATAGTTTTCCGTGGTTTGAGCAGGGATTCAAATCCAGGCCCTTCTTACCATGATTATGTCCAGATGGTGCCAGGTTGTCCCTGCATTGGATCAATATCACCGTTTGTTTTCAGATTCGCTTCTTGGAAACTGGATCCAGTTAATCGGTGATATATTGGGTTACCGGAAGGGAGAAAAAAAGGCCGCTTCCATTTGGATTTTGGATTCCCCTTCCAGTTCTATGACTCTTGTTTTTCAACCCCTCTTAAGGGCTGCTTTCATCTAGGATTCCTATTCTCAGGGATTGGTCTAGATGGCCTTTCCAATCCTTATTTTGGCTTTTTAATAGCCTTTGGGTGCCCCTTCCAACACTCCTTTTGGTCTAGATGGCCTTTGGGTGCCCCTCTCAATGTGCCTTTCAGTCTAGATGGCTCTTGAGTGCCCCTCTCAATGCTTCTTTTGATCTAGATGGCCTTTGGGTGTTCCTCTCAATCCTCCTTTCCATTTAGATGGCCTTTGGGTGCCTCTCTCAATGCTCCTTTCCATCTAGATGGCCTTTGGATGCCCCTCTCAATACTCCTTTTGGTCTAGATGGCCTTTGTGTGCCCCTCTCAACAACTTTTGGTCTAGATGGCCTTTGGGTGTCCCTCTCAACATTCCTTACAGTCTAGATGGCCTTTGGATGCCCTTCTCAATCCTCCTTTCAGTCTAGATGGCTTTTGGGTGCCTCACTCAATGCTCCTTTCCATCTAGATGGCTTTTGGACGCCTCTCTCAATTGTCCTTTCAGTCTAGATGGCCCTTGAGTTTCCCTCTCAATGCTTCTTTTGATCTAGATGGCCTTTGGGTGTCCCTCTCAACACTCCTTTCAGTCTAGATGGTCTTTGGGTGCCCTTCTCAATCCTCCTTTCAGTCTAGATGGCTTTTGGGTGCCTCTCTCAATGCTCCCCTCGCGTCTAGATGGCCTTTGGATGCCCCTCTCAATTGTCCTTTCAGTCTAGATGGCCCTTGAGTGCCCGCTCAATGATCTAGATGGTCTTTGGGTCCCCCTCTCAACTCTCCTTTCGGTCTAGATAGCCTTTGGGTATCCCTCTCAACACTCCTTTCGATCTAGATGACTGGGTGCCCCTCTCAATGCTCCTTTCCATTTAGATGGCCTTTGAGTGCCCCTTCCAACTCTCCTTTTGGTCTAGACGGCCTTTGGGTGCCCCTTCCAATTTTCTGACACTTCTTTTTCAACTCAAAGAGTAAGAAAGAGCGGCAAACTGAAGCTCAGCTTCTTGTAAATGAGAATCATAACGACACTACAGAGATCACGGGTTTTTGTGGTCAATTACACACGGCTTCCGATTATGGTGAGGGATGAGAAAGAGTAGCGTAAGTGAGCGTTGCAGGAATTGTGCGGTCCCCAAAGCCATAGGCCCCCACCTTCCCTACATAGTGGACTGCTTGTTATGTGTTGCTTCATATTATGGACTCAAATATGATATTGTGGCTAGATTTTCCTGTGCTGGCTGTGGATTCTGGGCCCTGTAGTCCAAAATCTCTGCTATTCTAGGAGGCTGAAGGTCTGGATCTATCTTGCAAAACAATGCTATGTGAATATTTGGGAAAATTAGCATGGATTGCATCTGTCTTTTAAACAACTCCTGCTTCCAATATTCCCTGCAATTAATTGGGCAGAGCTACATTCCTCCCTGCAGGAAATTAAAATGGGAAAACTCCCATTTAATTTTGCAATCATGCTCATTTTTGTTCTTGCAAGCCACCTCAATTTGCATGTCTCCGTTTTGCATAATTGCCTGGGATCAAAGTGTTCCTTTTCCTCCTTTGCAAGTGATTTGGATTTATTTTATTATTTGGCAAAAAGGAGGAAAACCACACCTTTCTTTGCCCCAAAAAAGAAGGAAAAATGGGGTGCAAAAGGAGGTAAGAATGAGATGGAATCCCATTGCCCTGCTCTCATTGGATGCTGGGAATTTTAGTCCTTTCCAAGGGAACTCTATTGGCTAGCTGAACTTTCCCCGCATTGTTTTGCCATGTTATGTGTGTGTGTGTGTGTATATATTCTGGAGCCCCCGGTGGCGCAGTGGGTTAAAGCACTGAGCTGCTGAGCTTGTTGATCGAAAGGTCGCAGGTTCGATTCCGGGGAGCTGCGTGAGCTTCCGCTGTCAACCCTAGCTTCTGCCAACCTAGCAGTTCGAAAACATGCAAATGTGAGTAGATCAATAGGTACTGCTCTGGCGGGAAGGTAACAGCGCTCCATGCAGTCATGCCGGCCACATGACCTTGGAGGTGTCTACGGACAACGCTGGCTCTTCGGCTTAGAAATGGAGATGAGCACCACATCCCAGAGTCAGACATGACTGGACAATGTCAGGGGACTACCTTTACCTTTACATTCTATTTTAATATTTGTATATTTTGGATTTTTAAATAGTATCAAAGCACTTTTCATGTCACAAAATAATAATAAAAAAATATTTAATTTTTATACTTTATACCAGGGGTCCTCAAACTAAGGCCCGGGGGGCCAGATACAGCCCTCCAAGGTCATTTACCCGGCCCTTGCTTAGGGTCAACCTAAGTCTGAAATGACATGAAAGCACACAATAAAAACATTCCTATGTCATCAGCCAAAAGCAGGCCCACACTTCCCATTGAAATACGAATAAGTTTGTATTTCTTAAAATTGTTCTTCATTTTAATTATTGTATTGTTTTTAAGTGGTTTTTGTACTACAAATAAGATATGTGCAGTGTGCATAGGAATTCATTCATGCTTTTTTCAAATTATAATCCGGCCCTCCAACAGTTTGAGGGACTGTGATCTGGCCCTCTGTTTAAAAAGTTTGAGGACCCCTGCTTTATACTATATTATATAATATAATTATATAATATACTTTTTGTTTGCCATTTTAGGATTTTAGAAAGCTGGAGGAACGAAGTTAGAAAACTATCATTTCTTAAAACTAATCCACTCTGGGTTTTAGTCCAAACTTGCAGCAAGTTGGAACCCCCGGTGGTGCAGTGGGTTAAAGCACTGAGCTGCTGAGCTTGTTGATCGAAAGGTCGCAGGTTCGATTCCGGGGAGCGGCGTGAGCTTCCGCTGTCAGCCCTAGCTTTTGCCAACCTAGCAGTTCGAAAACATGCAAATGTGAGTAGATCAATAGGTACCGCTCCGGTGGGAAGGTAACGGCGTGCCATGCAGTCATGCCGGCCACATGACCTTGGAGGTGTCTATGGACAACGCTGGCTCTTCAGCTTAGAAACAGAGATGAGCACCACACCCCAGAGTCAGACATGACTGGACTTAATGTCAGGGGACTACCTTTACCTTTACCTGCAGCAAGTTGTGAGTTGTAGTTTGGTGAGCTGGCAAATGTGTCATGTTTTTATCAATTGTTATTTAGATGGAAAACTAACCCCAAAATCAATTCCCTGATAAACAAGATCCTCTCAAAAAAGAGACCAGAAATACAATTTTTAAAAAATTGATTTATATATATATGTATATATATAAAATCCTTTTACAGCAAGGCTTATTAATGCCCTTTTTATAAAAATAGATATCACATAATAAAAGTTCTGCACAGCAGACAAGTATCAATGAAGGCCTCCCAAAAGGCCTTTGTTTGTGCAAAGTCTCTCTAGTTGTGTAAACATGATCTTTTGTGAAAATCTCAAGTCTTCATATACAGTAGAAAGATTGCTACAAAAACACATCTCCGTTGTGATCCATATGTTTAAATAAAACGGGGGAGTCCAGGTGAGGTTTTCTCTTGTGTTGCACGGCTTGCACACTCATGCACGACTGGAACCTCCATACTTAAAAAAACACACCAGGAATAATCCAATGTCTCTTGTGTTGCATGGCTTGCACATTTGTGCACACCACAAACTCCGTATCTGTTAAAACCCAAGGAGCAATCCAGACAAGGTTCCTTCTTGCACGGCACAGCTCGCACACTCAACACACAATTTGCACATTTACTCATGCCTGAAACCTCTGCATGTTTGAAAACTCAAGGGACGATCAGACATGGTTTCTTCTTGTGTTGCACGACTTACACACTTGTCTATGCCTGAAACCGCTGTGTGTTTATGAAAACAAGGAACCACCCAGACAAAGTTTCTTCTTGCCTTGCACAAGTCACCCACACGTGTATGATGGACACCTCCGAAAGTGAACTATCCAAACAAGGTTTCTTCTTTCTATTACACGACTTGTGTTGCACGACTCATTTACGCCTGAAACTTTCCGCACGTTCAAAGACGATCAAAGAAGGTGCCATCTTGCTTGGCACAATTTGTGTGTCGCATGATTTACACACTTGTTTACGCCCGACTCCTTCCACGCGTTCAAAGAAGACCAAGGAACCATCCAGAGAAGGTGCCTTCTTTCTGTGGCACCACGTGTGTTGCTCGCACGGTGAGCAGCTCGTCATATCTTCTTGCCCGTGCGACTGGCCAATCTCCATCCCACTGGAGAACCTTTTCCACGAGACGTTTTCACAACCGACTCATCATAGCTTGAAGGGGAAGGCCGCCAGGTAGTCCTTCAGGACGGGATTGAGGGGCAACCGTGCGAGGCCCTCCTTCCCAGCAGCGGCCACAATGCTGCGACGGCAAAGCTCTTGCAAGGGTCGCACTCTCTCCTTGCGCAAGGGCCGCGAGAGCACTTTCCGCGGTGAGGCCACATAGTGTTCCAGCAGCCGGAAGAGACACTCAAAGCCCTCCTCCTTGCCGCCGTCCAGGCTGAAGCGGCCGCCTCGGAAGAGCACCCGCACACTGGTGGGACCGGATGCCATGCGGACACTGACGGCAAAGAAGCAATTGTTCTGACGGCTGTCCCGCAACAAGAAGGTGCCCACCGGCTCGGCCCGGAGCCGCTCATGCGCCGCCGACACTGGGAGCGGACCCCAATAGAAGCCACACTCCTCCAGCAAGGCGCAAGTGCGGGCGATGGCCCCAAAGTCCTCCTGGGAGCGGAAGGTCTGGAAGCGGGGGTCCCGGGGTGCTGCTGGGCGGGGGGCCGCACAGGGCGCAAAGGGCGGTGGAGGTGGAGAGATCCCATGCTCCGGCGTCAGGCCGCCATGTGCCACCATCCTACAGTCCAGGGCCGCCGAGGGAGTGGGCGCCCATCGCGTCCCCGAGAAGGGGGCCAGGAAGACGGGGGTCTCGCCTGCAGGGAGGAGAAAAGAGGAAACGTTAGAAGCCATGCCAAAAGACACCTTTTTGCATGATTATATGATTTATTTATATGCTTCTTCTCTTCCCAAAGCAGCACAAAGCGGCTTGGACCACAGTTTACCTGCAATATCAATGCAGTTTACCTGCAATAATGTTAAAAGTCATGCTAAACCATTGTATTGTTTATATCAAGTATGTGCCTTTCTCCCAAATGGAACCCAAAGCACTGTGCAATATAAGTGGACCATGCTTAAAATAATTTTAAATTATTTTAATTATTATTATGTTTATTTACACCCTGCTTTTTCTATACACAAGGAGACTCAGGCTAAGTAGTCATGCTAAGCCACCAGTTTGTTTATTGTTTATATGCTGCTTTCCCCCCAAATGGATCCCAAAGTGGCTTGCAATACATAAAAGCCACTTACTTGCAATATCAATGGACCATGCATGAAAGCCATTGACTTTCAATATGTTGCTTACTTGCAATATCAATGGACCATGCATAAAAGCCATTGACTTGCAATATGTTGTTTACTTGCACTATCAATGGGCCATGCATAAAATCCATTGATTTGCAATATATTATTTACTTGCACTAACTGGCTTGCAAATATTGTTTACTTGCAATATCAATGGACCATGCATGGAAGCCACTGACTTGCAATGTATTGTTTACTTGCACTATGCATAAAAGCAATTGGCTTGGAAATAGTTGTTTATTTTCAAAATATTATTTACTTGCACTATGCATGAAAGCAACTGGCTTGCAAATATTGTTTACTTGCAACATCAATGGACCATGCATGGAAGCCATTGACTTGCAATGTATTGTTTACTTGCACTATGCATAAAAGCAACTGGCTTGAAAATAGTTGTTTATTTGCAATATATTATTTACTTGCACTATGCATACAAGCAACTGGCTTGCAAATATTGTTTACTTGCAACATCAATGGACCATGCAGGGAAGCCATTGATCTGCAACGTATTGTTTCCTTGCACAATCAATGGACAGTGCATAAAAGCTATTGACTTGCAATATATTGATTAGTTGCACTATCAATGGACCATGCATAAAAGCTACTGACTTGCAATATGTTTATTTGCACTGTCAATGGGCCATGCATGTTAAAACCCATGTTAATTCACCAATCTGCTTATCTGTATCATTTGAAATAAATAAATTATTATAAATAATACAATTTTTTTATTAAAACAGGGTCAAACTGCATTTATTCTGACCCACCCCTTGGGGAAACTTCCACTACCAGCATCCGATTTGTATTGGCGGTTAAAGTAAACGAAGAAAAATTCTGGGCAGTCCTTTTGCACCTACAGTTTTCACACTCTAGGTTCAATGCAGTTCAGAACCACTGTAGCTCACCACGGCTCAATGCAATGGGATCCTGGGAGTTGCAGCACTCTTTCAGCAAGGAAGGCTCTCAGGAAACTACAACTCCCAGGATCCCATAAGACTGAGCCACCAGAAGAGAGGAAAGAGGCTTCTCAGGCCTTGCATTTTGGGGGCACTTTATTCCAGCCAAAAGCCCTAATAATAATGTCTCCTTTGTGGAGAAAAAATGGGATATAAACAACAACAACAAAATGTGAGCAACAGCATAAGGATTACCCAGGTCTCCTTGCCTAATGCAAACTAACCTCTTGCAAAATCTTCCTATAATAATATTAATATTAATAAAAATAATAATTTGCTGTGAATTTTCCAAGCTGTCTGGCCATGTTCCAGAAGCATTCTCTCCTGACGTTTCACCCTTATCTATGGTAGGCATCCTCAGAAGCGATGAGGTCGGTTGGAAACTAGACAAGGGAGGTTTATATATCTGTGGAATGATGTCCAGGGTAGGAGAAAAAACTCTTTTATGTGCTTGAGGCAGTGTGGAATGTTGCCACTGATGACCTTGATTGGCATTGAATAGCCTTGCAGCTTCAAAGCCTGGCTGCTTCCTGCCTTGAGGGATACTTTGTTGTGAAGTATTAGCTGGCCCTGATTGGTACCTCCCAACAAAGGATTCCCCCCAGGCAGGAAACAGCCAGTCTTTGAAGCTGCAAGGCTATTCAATGCCAATCAAGGTTGCCAACTGCAACTTTCACACTTGCCTCCAACAGCCAAGAGTTCTTTTTCCCACCTTGGACATTATTCCACAGATATATAAACCCCACTTGCCGAGTTTCTAACAGACCTCACAACCTCTGAGGATGCCTGCTGTAGATGTGGGCAAAGTGTCAGGAGAGAATGCTTCTGGAACATGATCAGATAGCCCGGAAAACTCACAACAACCCAGTGATTCTGGCCATGAAAGCCAACAACAACAACAACAACAACAACATAATAATAATAATAATAATAATAATAATAATAATAATATAAGGCACTCCTTTAGTGCAAACTAATATTCTCTTGCAAGACCTTACAATAATAATAATAATAATAATAAAATTACCATTTTTTATTATTATTACTATTACTATGCAAGCTAATATTCTTTTGCAAGACCTTACTATAATAATAATAATAATAATAATAATAGGTCTCCTTGCCTTTAGTGCAAACTAATATTGTTTTGCAAGACCTTACTATAATAATAATAATAACATAATTACTATTTATTATTATTATTACTATTCCTATGCAAGCTAATATTCTTTTGCAAGACCTTACAATAATAATAATAATAATAATAATAATAATAATAATAGGTCTCCTTGCCTTTAGTGCAAACTAATATTCTCTTGCAAGACCTTACTATAATAATAATAATAATAATAATAATAATAATATAATTACTATTTATTATTATTATTACTATTACTATGCAAACTAATATTCTTTTGCAAGACCTTACTATAATAATAATAATAATAATAATAATAATAATAATAAGTCTCTTTGCCTTTAGTGCAAACTAATATTCTCTTGCAAGACCTTACTATGAGACCTGGGTGAAACCCTTGTGCCGACAGACAGGTCAGAGGTTCGAATGCAGGGAGAGCACGGGTGAGCTCCCCCTGTCAGCTCCAGCTCCCTGTGCAGGGACAGGAGAGAAGCCTCCCACAAGGATGGTAAAACATCAAAACATCTGGGCGTCCCCTGGGCAACGTCCTTGCAGACGGCCAATTCTCTCACACCAGAAGTGACTTGCAGTTTCTCAAGTTGCTCCTGACACAAAAAACTCAATAATAATAATAAGATAATTACACTAATAATACATTTTATTATAATTTCCCAGAGTTTAAAGCTGGCTACTTTTATCCTGGTATGATCAGATTGCAGACAGGTTTCCTTTGTGAGGCTGAGAAAGCGTGACTTGTCCCCAAAGCGACTAAGAATCCCAGCAAAATGAGTGTTTCTGTATCTATGTGTGTGCATACACATACACACACACAAAATTACAATACAGTAAATGAAAGTTCTCTTTGCAAAAGGTCCCAAATGCAGATCAAGGGGGCTCCTTAATCCGAATCAACCTGAAAAACACTAACAAGACTGCATTCCAAGTCCTCCTCCTTCTCCTCCTCCTCCTTCCCCAGGCACTTCACCTCAAATGACCCAACAGCAGACTTCAGGATTCAAAAACTGGATCACGCCCGAATCCGGATTTTTCTTTAAGGGGGGAGGCACTTTAATCCGAACCAACCCGATCCAAATCAAGCCCCTTCCTTTAATCCGAATTAACCAGTCCTAATCAAGGGGACCCCTCCAATCCGAATCAGGGTGCCCCTTTCAATCCGAATCAACCAATCCTTATTAAGGTACCCCTCTTAAACCGAATCAAGCAGTCCTAATTAAGGTGACACCCCTCTAATCCAAATCAGGGGGATTGGATTTCAATCCGAACCAACCACTCCTAATCAAGGGGGACCCCTGAATTCGAATCAAACAGTCCTAATCAAGGGTGTCTCCTTTAATCTGAATCAACTACTCCTGATTAATTGGACCCCCCCTCTAATCCGAATCAGGAGGGGTCCCCTTTAATCCGAATCAACCAATCCTAATCAAGGGGGACCCCTTAATCCGAATCAAACAGTCCTAATCAAGGGGGTCTCATTTACAGTCCTAATCAAGGGACCCCTATTAATCCGAATCAACAACTCCTAATTATCGGCACCCCTCTAATCCGAATCAACCAGTCCAAATCAGGGGTTTCCTTTTAATCCGAATCAACCAATCCTACTCAAGGGTGCCCCTTAATCCGAATCAACCAATCCTAATTAAGGGAACCCCCCTCTAATCCGAACCAACCAATCCAAATCAGGGGGTTCCTTTTAATTCGAAGCAGCCAATCTTAATCAAGGGTGTCCCTTAATCCGAATCAACCAGTCCTAATCAAGGGTGCCCCTTAATCCGAATCAACCAGTCCTAATTAAGGGGATCCCCCTCTAATCCGAATCATCCAATCCAAATCAGGGGATCCCCCTCTAATCCGAGTCAGCCAATCCTAATCAAGGGGGACCTTTAATCCGAATCAACCAGTCCTAATTACGGGGACCCCCTTCTAATCCGAATCATCCAATCGGAATCAGAGGGGTATAATTTAATCCGAATCAAGACCTTTCCCAACCCCAAATGGCCCTACATAGAGGGGGGAGGAGTCTGGATCCGGCTCGAGGGGCCCCTGAATCCGAATCAATAACTAATTATACATAATTATTACATAATAGCAATGATATTTAATAATCCTCTGTCTCTCTCTGTTTTCACCTTTCTTTAGTTCCGGCTCAAGGGGACCTTGGAGTCCTTGCTTCTTTCGCTTCTGGGTTCGAGTTCGGGTCCGAGCCAAAGCCAGCACGGGGCCCGAGAGTCATCCTCCTCCTCCTCCTCCTCCTCTTCCTGCGGTGCCTCCGCTCTCATGACTCTGCCTGCCTTTTAACGCAGCTTTTGCTCCCCTGGCCACGCCCCTTTTCCTGTCAATCAGGCAGGCAGGGAAGAAGAAGAGGCGGGACTTTCGCTTTCACTCTCATTGGTCAATTTTGGAGAAGAGGGAGAGGGAGGGGCTGCCTGGCTCCAAGAAGGAGGAGGAGGAGGAGGATCCTATGGACAACTATGACATATACTATACTAGCATTCCCCTGCCAGGCCTTGCTGTCTGGTATTTATTTATCGTGTCATCAGCAACCATTGTATTACAATTCTAACAGAGCAAAACAAACACACAGATTAAAAAGAAAAAGGGAAAAAAACACACAGATTTTGCAAATTTGGTATTTGGTTAAATGTCCTTTGACCAGTATCTGGCCACTTGGAGTGCCTCTGGGGTTGCCGCAAGAAGGTCCTCCATTGTGCATGTGGCAGGGCTCAGGTTGCATTGCAGCAGGTGGTCAGTGGTTTGCTCTTCTCCACACTCGCATGTCATGGATTCCACTTTGTAGCCCCATTTCTTAAGGTTGGCTCTGCATCTCGTGGTGCCAGAGTGCAGTCTCTTCAGCGCCTTCCAAGTCGCCCAGTCTTCTGTGTGCCCAGGGGGGAGTCTCTCATCTGGTATCACCCATGGATTGAGGTGCTGGGTTTGGGCCTGCCACTTTTGGACTCTCGCTTGCTGAGGTGTTCCAGCGAGTGTCTCTGTAGATCTTAGAAAACTATTTCTTGATTTAAGTCGTTGACGTGCTGGCTGATACCCAAACAAGGGATGAGCTGGAGATGTCTCTGCCTTGGTCCTTTCACTATTGGTTGCTACTTCCCGGTGGATGTCAGGTGGTGCAAGACCGGCTAAGCAGTGTAATTTCTCCAGTGGTGTAGGGCGCAGACACCCCGTGATAATGCGGCATGTCTCATTAAGAGCCACATCCACTGTTTTAGTGTGGTGATATGTGTTCCACACTGGGCATGCATACTCAGCAGCAGAGTAGCACAGCGCAAGGGCAGATGTCTTCACTGTGTCTGGTTGTGATCCCCAGGTTGTGCCAGTCAGCTTTCGTATGAGATTGTTTCTAGCGCCCACTTTTTGCTTGATGTTCAGGCAGTGCTTCTTGTAGGTCAGAGCACGGTCCAAAGTGACTCCCAGGTATTTGGGTGCGCTGCAATGCTCCAGTGGGATTCCTTCTGTCTGGTGATCTGGAAAATAAAGTGTTGGTTTCTAATATATGTAATTTTTTATGCTTGTGGGTAAACAGTATTTCTTGTTGTTTCTGGTCTGGTTTGCCTATTCTGGAATATACAACATATCATTGTCCTTCTTTAGGGGTCCCTTTCAAATCTATGAGACTATATCTGTCATATACATATTTATTTACAACATTTATTTACAACATTCTAACCCAGAAGGGGATTCAAATCTATGAGACTATATCTGTCATATACTTATTTATTTATTTATTTATTTATCTATTTATTTATGACATTTATATGCCGCCCTTCTCACCCCAAAGGGGACTCAGAGCAGCTTACAAGATACATACGTACAATCTATCTATATAAATAAAAATGTAATGTTTGTTTGTGGGATTAACATAACTCAAAAACCACTGGACAAATTGACACCAAATTTGGACACAAGGCACTTATCAGGCCAATGAGTGACCATCACTCATAAAAACACTGAAAAACACAGTGGAAGGGACCTTAAAAATTCAATTTTTTTTAAAAAATACATTACAACGCATGCACAAAACCATATATATATACGCAAACACACATATACACAAATATGTAGTAGTAATTTTATTGATTAGCCCTTAGGCCATATCACAATAAGAAACAGAACAACAAGGCCTGACAAGACCTGATCACACTCCACGTAGTAAGTTAAACACAAATATGTATATGTGTACACACATATACACACACAAAACTATATATATATATATATATATATATATATATACACGCATGCACAAAACCATATATATAAATATACGCAAACACACATATACACACACAAAACCATATATATATATATATATATATATACACACACACACACATTCCTGCGCAAAACCATATATATATATATATATATATATATATATACGCAAACACACAAACACACAAATATATACACACACATATACACACACAAAACACAGACTGGGCCACAGCAACACATGGCAGGGGGTGGCTAGTATATTATATTATTAGCATAGTACAATATCAGTATTAAACATTACTATATTGCACTATACCATTATATTGTAATATTGTAATATTATTAGGAATATTACATGTAATATAAATATATAATTATGATATATTATTATTAGTTTTATATTGCATTAAATTATAATATTATAAATATTATATGTATATACAATATATTATATTACATTACATTATATTAATATGTTATTAGCATAGTACAATATCAGTATTAAATATCACTATATTGTACTATACCATTATATTGTAATAGTATTAGGAATATTACATGTAATATAAATATATAATTATGATTTATTATTAGTTTTATATTGCATTAAGTTATAATATTATAAATATATGTATATACAATCTATATAAATAAAAAGGTAATGTTCATTTGTGGGATTAACATAACTCAAAAACCACTGGACGAATGGACACCAAATTTGGACAAAAGACACCTCTCAGGCCAACGAGTGACCATCACTCATAAAAACACAGCAGAAGAGACTTAAAAAGCCAAAAAAATAAATAATACATTACAACGCATGCACTAAACCACATGTATACACATAGATACACACACAAAACACATATATACAGACTGGGCCACAGCAAAGCGTGGCAGGGGATGGCTAGTTATATTATATTATATTATATTATATTATATTATATTATATTATTGCAATAGCACAGAAGACAAGATATATGTTTTGTGTGTATGAATCATATCTATCTATCTATAGATGGATGGCTCCTTGTCAGGAGGGCTTTCATTATGTCTGGAGAACAAGCCCTATGAGGAGCGGCTTAAAGAGCTGGGCATGTTTAGCCTGGAGAAGGCTGAGAGGGGACAGGATAGTTATGTATAAATATGTGAGGGAGGAGGGAGCAAGCTTGTTGCCTGCTTCTCTGGAGACTAAGCCCTATGAGAACAAGCCCTATGAGGAGCGGCTTAAAGACCTGGGCATGTTTAGCCCGAAAAGAGAAGCTTGAGAGGAGACATGATGAGGGTCATGTATAAATATGTGAGAGGAAGTCATAGGGAGGAGAGAGCAACCTTGTTTTCTGCTGCCCTCGGAGACTAGGACGCGAAACAATGGCTTCAAATTACAAGAAAGGAGATTCCATCTGAACATTAGGAAGAACTTCCTGACTGTGAGAGCTGTTCAGCAGTGGAACTCTCTGCCCCAGAGTGTGGTGGAGGCTCCTCCTTTGGAGGCTTTGAAACAGAGTCTGGATGGCCATCTGTCGGGGGTACTTTGAATGCGATTTTCCTGCTTCTTGGCAGGGGTTGGACTTGATGGCCCATGAGGTCTCTTACTGCCTGGGGGAATCCCTTGTTGGGAGGTGTTAGCTGGCCCTGATTGCTTCTTATTTGTTTCCTCCCAACAAAGGATTCCCCCAGGCAGAAATCAGCCAGGCTTTGAAGCCGCAAGGTTATTCAATGCCAATCAAACTGGTCAATTGCAACTCAAGCAGACAAGGGTTCTTTCCACACCCTGGACATCATTCCAGAAATATACAAACCCCGCTTGCCTAGTCTCCAACAAACCTCTGAGGATGCCTGCCATAGATGTGGGCAAAACGTCAGGAGAGAATGCTTCTGGAACTTGGTCAGACAGCCCAGAAAACTCACAGCTAATATTAATATTGTGCTGTGCAGTTATGCAACAAATTATTTGCATTGCGGTGGTGCATTATATATAATTGCAATTATGCGCCATATTCTTTGCATTGTGGTTGTGCATTGCACACTCTTTGCTGCCCTTTGTTGGTCTTCGTGTAGGGGTTCTGAACCGATGCCAATCTTTCCAGCTTCTGGAGAACTATATCTCCCAGGATCCCTTAACCAGCTTGGGAAAGGGGAAATGTGGTACTTGTAGTCCCAAAGCCCCTTTGCAGCAGCCTTTTCCCAGAAACAACCTTTGGCAGAACTTGCAGCCAGGTCTTATTCTTGCCATCATTTGCAATTCCCAGAAAGCAGGAGCAGCACCCTTTTTTTATTGCACCTTGGCTTCACTTTTGCTTTTCCTTCCTCCCTTCTTCACTTTTGCTTTTCCTTCCTCTCTTCTTCTGAGCTTCTCCTTTCGGTATCAAGGTGCATCTACACCAGGCATGGGCAAACTTCAGCCCTCCAGGTGTTTTGGACTATAATTCCCACAATTCCTAACAGCCGGTAGGCTGTTAGGAATTGTGGGAATTGGAGTCCAAAACACCTGGAGGGCCCAAGTTTGCCCATGACTGCTTTGCAGGGATGAAAAAAGGAAAAATAATATCAGAACAATGAATAATTACTATCTTTATCATGCTCCAAATATTTGCATCAGGGATCAATAAATAATATATTGCCGATTGATTGTTTACAACATTCCTCCCATGTCTTGCTTTGCAGAGAAGGAGAGATTACATTTACAGCATCAACATTCATTGGGAATCTATGGTGCATCTACACTGTGGAGTTAATGCAGTTTGGCACCACTTGGACATGCCGTGGCTCAATGCTATGGGAATCCTAGAGAGTTGTAGTTTGCACTCGGAGGCACCTGAGGTCTTGTAAAAGCACAGCCCCTGGGATTCCCATAGCATTGAGAGATGCGGGTTCAAGTGCATTGATTTCAAAGCAGGGATGGGCCCCAAATGCCAAACTATAACTCCCATGGCTCCATAGCATTGAGAAACGGCCCAAACTGCACCAATATTCAAGTATTGGCACGACTCCAAGGCCTTGTAAAACAACAAATCTCAGGATTAGGTTGCAATGGGACAGTGTTGGTGCAATTGTTGCA